GGTGGAAGAGTTGGGTAAAGCAATTTCGTAAAAATTGAGACATGAAAGAGTGTAGAATAATAAATGATGAAGAACCAGTGTCATTAGCACAAATATGTTCAAATTAGGAAAACAAATTTATATTTCCAAATTTCTTTGCTTCTTTAATTTCTGGACAACTAGGTGATATGGTAAAGCAATGAAACCGAAAGAACGGGTACAGGGATATTGGACTTCATGGATATCAAAACCAAATGAGCCACCCACGAGCTTATGTTCATTGGGGTCCATCAAAAAACTAGTTAGGCATTTGGTCGAACGCTTTTAGGACGTGACCCTGATCCATGTGTTGGTTTAAGCTGGGCCAACTTTTAGATAATTGTGGATCGTTAAGCCCATGATGATAGGCTTAATAACCTTATTCAGACGGACCCAAGCCACTACCATGACTATAGACAGATGAAACCAGTACTGTTTTCTTGAAATAATATTCGGCATTGAACACTTTGCATGCCAGCTGAAACACCGTTTAATAGAGTAAACGACTTTTTTCCACCCAAGGTTTGCCTTAATGGAAATACTACTTTTCCACCCAATATTTATATTTTCGTTAATACCTAAAATATATTTCATTTTCTCAGTCCGCGTTCAGCGAGTTACTATAAGCCAAGGTAAGAGGATTTTTGTAAAGTGGAGGCTGGTAAATCGAATGTTAGTAATTGATTGAATATTAGTCATCGGAATCAGTCGAAAATCATATAAGAACAGAAAACCTTAACTTTATGATGGTCGATAATCAACAAGAAATCTGGTATCAGAAAGAGAGGAGTTTTGTAGACAAAAGACTGAAGGTTCAAATTATGGTGATGAAGATAATTTTTATCGTCAAAATCGATTTTGGATAATGACAAAATATTAATTTTGAATAAAAAAATGATATTTTAAAACATTTTGTGTGGAAAAGTCCCTTGGGTGCGAAAAAACCGTTAACTCCCGTTTAATAATATAAAAACTTACCTTTTCCACCATAAGCGCATGATGATCAGATCTTGCTGAAATAATACAGATTGACTACATCAATTTTGAAAGTGGAGAAGTGACTCAATTTGATCTTCTCAACCAACAAAGTGATGGACCAGAATTGGAGGTTTGTCGGTTTTGGAACACCCTTACTGTTTAGTGTAAGTGAGTGATGACCTAGAGATTTGAATAAATGATATTATAAGTCCAAATGTTATAATATAATGAGATTTTCATCCAAAAGATAATTGCCCTTAACTTAATCCATTATTTGACACACAAAATTTGACAAAAAGAGGCAAAAAATCCTTTTGTTTTATCAGATTATAAATAAAATAAACAAAACAATAGTTAGTTTTAGTAAATTTAAAAAAATCTGAAAAATGTTTTTCATAAAAAATATAATTTTATCCAACAAAATAAAAATTATTTCTTATTATAAATTATTATACTTTTTTCAATGATATAATAATTAAAAATAATAATATAAAATATGCAAATTATAAAATTAAGAAAATAAAATATAAAATGTTAAAAAAAATTAGATAAATGTATTTTATTAGATAAATGATTTGTTTACTCTATCCCTTTGTTACCCATGTTCAATTATCATGTGACAAAAAAAAAATAAAAAAATAAAAACATTTTTGTTTTTTAAATTTGATTAATTTTCAACACATTTCTAGTTTTATCCCTCCATCTAAAGTATTAGACTAACGACGGTTATTTATTTTTTTATGAAAATGTCGCTATATATTATAACATTTGGGGTTGTAATGTCACTTGTTTAAGCTTATGGATCTAACTTACCTTCACTAAACCTTAAAGTTATTTATGATTTAAAGCCAAGGTTTCTGTATGTATGCCCCCTTTTACAGCTGCAAAGGCATCTTTCTACTCGTGAACGTAGGAGCATGGGCTGAGCTTGCATTAAAAATAACAAATATCGGTTGAACCAAGAAACGCGGAGAAATTTCTGCATGGATGTTTTGGACATGGGATACATGATGGACTTCAGATAATTACGACTGGGCTGTGTCAACCTCCTGTCAATGGCTCGATGCCACAAGAAGTCAACAACCAACTAGACTGTCAACACCACAACAAGTCAACAATCAACTACAGTTGAAACCATTTCTACCCAAATTAAAAATATTACTGTCTTTCGTGGAACTTTTCGAACTCTATTTTATTTTATTATCTTATTCTATAAAGTAAAAAATATGTTTGTTTTAATATTTAATTGTTCAAATTTTATGCTCGCAACATCAAAATGCAAATCAATTGAAACCAGATTCAACATACTCAAGCAATTATAAGGAATTGCCAAAAGGTAACGTGCCAAACAAACCTTCATTGTAATCTTGGGTTTCTGGGCTTACTAGCACCCCATAGAATCAAAGAGAAGAGAGAAACAAAAACAAGAAGCCAAGAACAAATGCAAGAAAATAGCATCGACGAGGAAGACCCTGCGCGTTCTTCATCGTCAAGAAGTCCCTCTTCTTCAATCACATCACACTCTTTCCATGCTTCTGTCCCTTCCTCTGTCCGCTCTGGACCCATCATTAGGAGAGATCTTGCGCGATCCAGGCTTCAATGACCCAGAAAACCGGCTCGATGAGGACTCACGCGAGTGGCGGCCCACGGATGAGTGTGAATGTGGGGGTGAGCCAGCGGGGCTGAGGACCGGCGTAGAGTGAAAGGAAGTCGTCGTTTTCTCCATCGTGGGAATTCGTGATGGACTTTGCACGTAATAGACAGGACGGCGTGGAGATCTATTGGAGATGATGTGGCGAGGCTTGTTACCTCTGAGTCAGTCTTTGCGTGCATTGTTATTCTCAGTTGTAGAATTGAAGCTGAATCGCTGAATGTAATGGGCGACTTTATCGAGGGATTGTTAATGATAAATCAAGAAACGAGTTAAGTGGAGGACTAACTGTAACGCGTGGAATATTATTGGCTTACTCCAAGAGGAAAATTTTGTAGACGGAGAGAGAGGAGGACAAAAAGTATAGGATGTCTGCGGGTGCGTAAATCGCATTAGTTGGGGAAACGAAGAGCCAAGAACTAGTTACCCGACAGCCATGTTACAGTTGTCACCGCACTTTAATATAATATAATTATTATTCTGTGCACCGCAAGAGTTAGAGCTAGGGATGTCTGCATCCAACGGTCTGGATCATCCAGAGATAGGTTTGATGGTAATAAATACCAATTTTTTTTTTTTTTTTTCTATTGATATTATTAAAAGGCAGTTGCACAATGTGGACTTAACTTCTTTGGAAAAAGTTGTTATTAGATGATTAATTGATTATGATCATCGTGAATCATAAACACATTTATTTTTTTTTAGTAATATTTGATAGAAATTGATTGATTAAATATAATTTGTGAATGTGGGTTTCTTTAATTTCCATCATTATTGGTCATGTGATTGGTGTATGATTTATGTCTAGAAAGGCTTCTTCAACATAAATTATTACTCACATTAATTGAGATGTTATAATTAATAAAAACAAATTTGCTTCTTTATTAATTTTATCATGAGTTAACAACTTTTTCCCATCTGAATAATGGTTTAATGGTAATTTCTCAGACTTTAAAATATGATTTTACTACTCAAAGTTCAATTATGTTTGTAAATTTCTTTGTGCAAAGGGATAAAATGGTCAAAACGTCTTATAAGTAAGGGCAGGATGGTTAATTAACATTAATTAACCATCTTCTTCATCTCCCTTCCTTCAATTGCGACTATCGTTTTTGCGCCGTTGGCCGATTCCGGCATTGTTGCAACTCCCTGCCACCACCATCTTGTTCCTTGTGCCTCGCATATCAAAACCCGTCTTTCACCATCCTCATTGAACCCACCATTGGAGTCCTCATGTGTGCGTCCCCTTCTCTGGCCTGTTTTGGCCGGAACCCCTCCACCAGCTTCCCCACCCTCCATAGACCAAAACCCCCAACGTTCCTAAGCCTCTCCTCCCACCATTCACCGGCCACCGCCTTATTAGGCTTTCATTGTTCTAAGCCAAATTCTGGTGGCTAACGGTTGTCAAAATTCAATCCAACACCACCACTTGAACCATCGAACTCCACAGTCCACACTACAAAACCCCCAGACCCCCGTCACCTGTTAGCCCGTCAATCGTTGGCCGAACTTGCCTCCACTATCGTGACTGGATTTTTCTTTTTCTGTGAAATTGGCTTTGATTTGATGTTTCTTTGAGACTGTTTTGGCTTATTGAATGTTTAAGGATTGATTGTGTTGGTTTTCTAGGTTGTTTCCATTGCCAGCAACAACCATTTTGCACTTTCTCGTCGGCGCACGCCAAGTGGCGCCAACTACTGAGGGGTGATTGTGGGTGGGGGTGAAAGGGGTTTTGGTGGGGGGATGGCAATGAGTTGAATGGTAGTGACAATGTCAATTTCTAGTGTCACAATTGGCCGAAATTTGGGCTGAGGCGCACGAAACCTTGAATTGCAATGGTCGACGAAATGGGGTTGATATTTGGAAGGAGTATTTTTGTCTTTATATGAATATCATTGTTTTCAATGGGAACTGTTAACAAGATTTAGCATTTAAGTTTCAAAATGGTATTTTAAAAGCAAAATGTGATTACATAATTATTCGGGTGGGAAAAAGTCCTCTTTTATCATTGATCTATGAGAGCATAGGGGAAGCTGATGGGGAACAAGAAATAAGACATTCCGCTGCTTGACTACAGTTGAAGTTCTGCTTCAAGTGATCCAAAGTGAAAGATCTGTTAATAATAGGAGCAGCTAGGAATTTCAGTATATATGTTTATGTTTTTTAAACTCTTACAACATTTTTCAAAGCTAAAACTCCAATTCATGGTAACACATGAAATTTGCTGACCAAATCTTTAGTAATCAACAAAATCATGAAATTTGCTAATAAAATCTTTTAGTAACATTAACAAATCAAGTTGACCATTCTAACACAATCCTTGCCAACCACCCACTGAAAATTCATAACATAATAAATCTTAAAATATATAGTTTTACATTATAAATTTGTATCGGTATCATTGACAAAATAATGAATTACATTACATAACCCACCAAGAAATAAATAAATCATTTCTTAATTTTACATTAAAAAATAAATAAACAAAAGAGGGAGATCATCACTCACAGCCAACTTATATTCCCATTTTCACATCCTCCCGGCACTTTTGGGCAGCCAAAAAGTCTACGAAGTACGAACCACTTCCCTCACTCCCTGCCCAAACAACTCAAAAGCTGCCCGCTTAGCTGTAACTCATCTTCACTTGCTTCTATTCAACAAAAAGGAACAACAAATAAAATTAAAATTCTCTCCAATGTGCATTTGTGCTCTGTAATCAATCATATGTGCAAGAATTCTTGAGCGAAATTGCAACATTGATCTTTTTAGGATCGTAGGTAAGAGAACACTGTATTTTCCTGTAAAATTTTGTCTTAACCAATTTCCCCAAAACGTTAGCCCTTGATCTGACCACGAAGTTCAGATCAAGAGCCACTGGTAAAGTTGTGGTGCCTGTTGAACTGCTCAAGCCAGCTCCACTTCCATATAATGGAATCTTATTACCCGTCACCACGACAGTAACTGTTCTCTGACTTTTCCTTGATTGATAGAACTCCTTAATCTGCAATACCATCTCACCACATTAATCAAACAATAAACTCAAATCGGTTTTATTGAGCACTAGATGGGAAAAGGATTTTTGTGACTTACCGATCCTGAGGCTACAGTGATCTGAGAATAGCTTAGATCTAGAGGAGTTGATGTTACATGAACTCCAAAGAATGTGCCAGTATTACGATAAATTAATTTTACAGTAGAATTCATGGTGATCATATCAGTTGCCACTCCAGTAGAATCTGAACCAGCTTGAACCTTTAATTGTTCAAATTTTATGCTCTGCAACATCAAAATGCAAATCAATTAAAACCCAGATTCAACATACTCAAGCAATTATAAGGAATTGCCAAAAGGTAACGTGCCAAACAAACCTTCATTGTAATCTTGGGTTTCTGGGGCTTACTAGCACCCCATAGAATCAAAGAGAAGAGAGAAAACAAAACAAAGAAGCCAAGAACAAATGCAAGAAAATAGCATCGACGAGGAAGACCCTTTCGGCGCTCTTCATCTTCAAGAAGTCCCTCTTCTTCAATTACATCACACTCTTTCCATTGCTTCTGTCCCTTCCTCTGCCCGCCTCTGGACCCATCATTAGGAGAGATCTTGCGCGATCCAGGCTTCAATGACCCAGAAAACCGGCTCGATGAGGACTCACGCGAGTGGCGGCCCACGGATGAGTGTGAATGTGGGGGTGAGCCAGCGGGGCTAAGGACTGGCGTAGAGTGAAAGGACGTCGTCGTTTTCTCTCCATCGTGGGAATCTCGTGATGGACTTTGCACGTAATAGACAGGACGGCGTGGAGATCTATTGGGAGATGATGTGGCGAGGCTTGTTACCTCTGAGTCAGTCTTTGCGTGCATTGTGTATTCTCAGTTGTAGAATTGAAGCTGAATCGCTGAATGTAATGGCGTACTTTATCGAGGGATTGTTAATGATAAATCAAGAAACGAGTTCAGTGCAGAGCTAACTGTAACGCGTGGAATATTATTGGCTTACTCCAAGAGGAAAATTTTGTAGACCGGAGAGAGAGGAGGACAGAAAGTATAGGATGTCTGCGTGTGCGTAAATCGTAGTAGTTGGGGAAACGAAGCAGCCAAGAACTACTTACCCGACAGCCACGTTACAGTTGTCACCGCACTTTTAATATACTAATTAATTATTATTCTGTGCACCGCTAAGAGTTAGAGCTGGGGATGTTTCTGCATCCAACGGTCTGGAATGGATCATCCAGAGATACGTTTGATGGTATTAAGATACCAAATTTTTTTTTTTTTTTTTTAATTATTAAAAGGCAGTTGCACAATGTGGACTTAACTTCTTTGGAAAAAGTTGTTATTAGATGATTAATTGATTATGATCATCGTGAATCATAACACACTTATTTTTTCTTATGTAATATTATGATAGAAATTGATTGATTAAATATATATTTGTGAATGTGGGCAGTGAGGTACACGACAAACAACCACGTGAACCCATATGTCAAAATACCATGTTTGGCGAATGTGAATTGTCATAGAGTATAGTTTCTTCTCTCACTGTATTCTTAATATAAGCTGTTTAATATTCTTGCTTCTTCTGTGGGCAAGTACGCAATATTCTATTTTTTACATTCACATGAGATGAAATGCATTACACAAAATTGAAATACTAACCTGATGTTTAACAACTTTGGTGAAATACTTCCTTCAAATAAATTGCAGGTGGAAGAGTTGGGTAAAGCAATTTCGTAAAAATTGAGACATGAAAGAGTGTAGCATAATAAATGATGAAGAGCCAGTGTCATTAGCACAAATATGTTCAAATTAGGAAAACAAATTTATATTTCCAAATTTCTTTGCTTCTTTAATTTCTGGACAACTAGGTGATATGGTAAAGCAATGAAACCGAAAGAACGGGTACTGGGATATTGGACTTCATGGATATCAAAACCAAATGAGCCGCCCACGAGCTTATGTTCATTGGGGTCCATCAAAAAACTAGTTAGGTATATTTGGTCGAACGCTTTTAGGAAATTGACCCTGATCCATGTGTTGGTTTAAGCTGGGCCAACTTTTAGATAATTGTGGATCATGAAGCCCATGATGATAGGCTTAATAACCTTATTCAGACGGACCCAAGCCACTACCATGACTATAGAGAGATGAAACCAGTACTGTTTTCTTGAAATAATATTCGGCATTGAACACTTTGCATGCCAGCTGAAACCCCGTTTAATAGAGTAAACAACTTTATCCCACCCAAGTTTTGGCTTCAATGGTATTTTCCACTCAAAAAGTTTTAAAATACCATTTTCCTACCCAACATTTATATTTCGTTAATACCTAAAATATACTTCACTTTCTCAGCCAACGTTCAGCGAGTTACCATAAGTCAAGGTAAAAGGGTTTTTGTAGAGTAAAGACTGGTGAATCGAATATTAGTAATTGATTGAATATTCGCCATTGGAAATCATATAAAAACAGAAAACTTTAACTTTATGATGATCGATAATCAGCACGAAATTAGGTATCAGAGTAAGGGAGTTTTGTAGAGAAGAGACCAAATAATCAAATTGTGGTGACAAAGATGATTTTTGCCGTCAAAATTGACTTTGAGTAGTAATAAAATATTAATTTTAGATAAAAAAATAGTATTTTAAAACTTTTTGTGTGGAAAAATGTCATGAAAACCTTGGGTCGGAAAAAGCCGTTAACTCCCGTTTAATAATATAAAAACTTACCTTTTCCACCATAAGCGCATGATGATCAGATCTTGCTGAAATAATACAGATCGACTACATCAATTTTGAAGGTGTAGAAGTGACTCCATTTGATCTTCTCAACCGACAAAGTGATGGACCAGAATTGGACGTTTGTGGGTTTTAAAACACCCTTACTGTTTAGTGCAAGTATTGTTATGACCTGGAGATTTGAATAACTGATATTATAAGCCCAAATTTTATAATATAATGAGATTTTCATCCAGAAGACAATTGCCATTAACTTAATCCATTATTTGACACACAAAATTTGACAAAAAGACACAAAAAATCCTTTTGTTTTATCAGATTATAAATAAAATAAACAAAACAATAATTAGTTTTAGTAAATTTAAAAAAATCTGAAAAATGTTTTTCGTAAAAAATATAATTTTATCCAACAAAATAAAAATTATTTCTTATTATAAATTATTATACCTTTTTTTAATGATATAATAATATAAAAGATGCAAATTATAAAATTAAGAAAATAAAATATAGAATCTTAAACAAAATAGATAAACGTATTTTATTAGATAAATTATTTGTTTACTCTATCCATTTGTTACCCATGTTCAATTATCATGTGAAAAAAAAAAAACACACACATTTGTTTTTTAAATTTGATTAATTTTTCAACACATTTCTAGTTTTATCTCTCCATCTAAAGTATTAGACTAACGACGGTTATTTATTTTTTTAATGAAAATGTCGCTATATATTATAATATTTGGGGTTGTAATGTCACTTGTTTAAGCTTATGGATCTAACTTTATTTTCACTAAACCTTAAAGGTATTTATGATTTAAAGCCAAGGTTTCTGTATGTATGCCCCCTTTTACAGCTGCAAAGGCATCTTTCTACTCGTGAACGTAGGAGCATGGGCTGAGCTTGCATTAAAAAATAACAAATATCGGTTGAACCAAGAAACGCGGAGAAATTTCTGCATGTATGTTTTGGACATGGGATACATGATGGACTTCAGATAATTACGACTGGGCTGTGTCAACCTCCTGTCAATGGCTCGATGCCACAAGAAGTCAACAACCAACTAGACTGTCAACACCACAACAAGTCAACAATCAACTACAGTTGAAACCATTTCTACCCAAATTAAAAATATTACTGTCTTTCGTGGAACTTTTCGAACTCTATTTTATTTTATTATCTTATTCTATAAAGTAAAAAATATGTTTGTTTTAATATTATTATTCAAGCCAAAATCCAATCATATTATATTCTAACTTAAAATATTTTATAATTATCTTTTTTAATAAAAAATTATAAATTAATAAAAACACTCTTATCCACGCAAATAATAATCATCCACTAGCAACCATCGTTAACACTGGAATGATGCATAATTGACTAAATCTAACTGATTGTACGTCGATTTGATAAAAAATGGTCAGATCTACAGTTAAAGATTTGGTCGTTAACAATGACCAAATAATAACTATAGATCTGACCAGATATACGTTGGATCTGACCAAATTGATATATGGCTAATCAGATCCAGTCCATTATGTACCATTTCGACAATGATAGAGGAACAGTTGAAATTAGAAAGCATGAATGGGGAGAAATATACTTTAACCAATTAATAAATGGCACATTAATTTGACCCATTTGCCCTCCACGGTTTTTGTCACTACGGCAAAAGGAGACCTACAATTGCCAGCATATTGCATGACATAAGACTGCCTAATTTTCAACGGAGCGTGTCATGGTGCTACTAAACACAACATTATTGAATAATATGTCAGATTATAGATTTTGGATGAAAATTCAAGTAAAGTTATTTATTAATGGATAAAGTTGAGAAGTTTTGGTTTAAAGATTGGAAAGATATCAGTGGTTGGTAAGCTATATAATCACGATTCACGGGCAAGTATATGTATGATTGTACGATGTAATATCGTGAAGTAGTGGTGCAAGCAATCACAGACGTGACCCAAACCATGTTAGTATTATATGGTTCACCATTTATTAAAAGTCTAAGGTGGTTGTAACACCCCTTCAGTATTTAGCATATATATTTACTTGGAATAAAACTATAAAAAGAGGTGTTGCTGGAACTACGACAATAATAACACTCAGTAACAGTGTAACATTAACAACTGGCAAACCTTGGGGAAAAAGAGTGGAAGACATGAAAATCCTTATCTTATGACAAAAGAAGTGTGAATTTTGCGCATGTGAAGTCATTTTCTACCCAGGCTATCTTAGCTTGTAGTGTTGTGACGTGAAGAGAGTGAGAAAGGACGACCACGATAGTGTGTTTTTTTTAATTAAATTGCAGTGTCATTAAATAGTATGGGATGATAGGGTAAGTCTCCGGTGGCCATCTCTATTTGGAATATAGATAAATCAAATTCAAGACCTCTTGAATAATACACCGAAGAGTCTTAACTGACTGTTTGGTTATCTAATGATGATTGTAAATAATTAATTTGAAGTAGTTGCTTGGTAATTTAAAACTGTTAGAATACTGCATGTTTATTATCAAAGGCCTTACACTTACGCTACACTTAAAACATGCATACCTAGAACGAATTAATTATATTAACGTTAATAATGAAATCCAAATTATTGTATTATGTCAAGTCAATTCAAGCCAACCAAAAATCATTCAAATACCATCAGATCCCGTGATCCCTTCTTGTAAAGCAGTTATTTGTAATAGGATATATTAATTAGATGCCTGGTAAGTTTTGATAATGACATTCATAAGCACATGTAACTATGTAAGATCCATCGAACAAAACAATCTGGTTCTTGCTCAGCTGGAGAACGATTCTTGTGAAAATGTGCAAGTATTAATAATAATTTAAATAGTTGGTGTATTATTTATAATTGTTTTTAAAATGGATACAATCAACAACACCACATATATAACCCTATCCAAATAATTAGTAGCAAGCATCTCCAAGCTTCATCACCAACTATTTTTTAATGTATATAATCTTTAATTAATCTTCTTCTTCCTACGAAAGCTCCTCTGTGTTGTCTGTGCTCAGTCTTGTGACTACGATAGGACTTTTTACCACATGTTGACCTCCAGTCTCAGTCCATGTCAGATAACCAAAAGCTACCTCTTCTTCCATCAGTTTTGGACCTTCTATTACCAGCTTGTAGCTTTGCTTCTCATTTTTTCCTTTGAAAATCAACTTATCGGGAGTGACACTCACTTTAAACCCTTTCATTGCTGTTACAGTAGCGAGGTAAGTTGATGTTCCCTCTCCAACATTGGTCACTGTTCTTTTAAATTGCACTGTACTCTTCGGTTCGGATTTTGAGTCATTTCCGTTGAAGAAAGCAATAAAAGACGGATAGTTAATATCCAAAGATGACACTGAACAATTGGTAGAAGATGACCTTGTGATTGTTTGAATTTGCTTCATGGTGAAGTTTAATGCACAAAGAAGACTAACATAATCTTCCAATGTTGCATCATAAATAAGGCCGGGTTCTAATGCTTTGTTGGGATTGATGTGGCCAGCTCCCATAGCTAGAGGAGTGGCAGGTTCGTTATGTTTACCACTGTCTTTAATAGGAGCATTTGTGTTATCAACGGAATCTGATGAGGTCATGATGGCTGATCGAATGGCTGCAGGGCTCCATTCCCGGTGTACTCCTTTCAAAAGTGCTGCTATTCCTGCTGCATGTGGGCACGACATGGATGTCCCTGAAATCAAATTGAAATTACTAAACAGAAGCTCCGAATTCACCTCTGTCACTGCAGTCTTTGAAGGCCATGCAGCCAACACTAAATCCCCAGGAGCCATAATGTCAGGCTTCAAGACAAACGGGCAGCTCGGGGATGGCCCTCTAGAGCTGTAGCTAGTTGCAGTTGGTGCTGGTTTTCCTCCCAAATCTGTTTTTCGAAACTCCATACTTGCTTTTGGGCCTGAGTTGCTCTTTATGTAGTTTAGGATAATGTCAGCATTTTTGGAATTCATGAATATTGCCGGAAATGAGCTTTGCAAGAAGGATTCCGAGTTATCGATGTCTGATATGAAGACACCTGCAGCGACTTTAGCCGTTTGAATGTTATATACTTGGTCGCTAATGGATTCATTCTTGTCTTGGCACACAACAATCTTTCTTCCAACTTTCTTCAATTCAGTCAAATTGAGACAGTCATCCATGAAAACAACAGGGACTTGGCTTAAAGACACATTCCCCGGATATAAAGAGGAGCCCTTGACTTGAACTCCACTTCCTAGAGTTAAAATGGAGCCAAATTCACGATCCATTGTACCAGCAGCAACGGTTAGGACCCAAGGTATGCCATTGTGTAGGGTCCCAAAGAATGGCCCTTGGTTTCCAGCAGAAGTAGAGACGAAAATATTCTTCTCAATGGCTGCAAATGTGGCTATGGCAAGGGGGTCTTCATACAGAGGAATCCCATCCAAGCCCAATGACATTGACAAAACATCAACGCCATCAATAATTGCTTGATCAATCGCAGCAATAATGTCAGAAGTGAAAGCACCTTCTGCCCAAATGGCCTTGTACATGGCCACTCGTGCCTGTGGAGCCATACCACTTGCAGTTCCTGCGGCATAATCAAAGTATGATACACCTTCAACAACACTTCCAGCTGCTGTGGATGACGTGTGAGTCCCATGTCCATCAATGTCGCGGGTAGAATTCATGGATATGGTGGCATTGGGATTTTTGGCAATCAGGCCTCTGTTGAAAAATCGAGCTCCAATTAGCTTCTTGTTGCACAATGAGGAGTTGAACTGGGTGCCAGTCTCGCATTCTCCTTTCCATTTTGATGGAATTTCTGTCATTGCTCTGTCATTAAAGCTTTCGCTCTCTGGCCAAACCCCTGTGTCCACCACGCCAATTATAACATCTTGGCCATATTTTGATAGTGGCCATAGCCCTGATTTCGATTGAAGGCCAAGAAACTGAGATGAATGCGTTGTGTCTGGCTTAACAGGTAAGTCTCTAATGGACGAAATATAGCCTGGAGAGGTTTTCAAGACCTCAAGCTCAGCAGAAGTGAGACTTGCACTAAAACCATTGATAACATGATTATAACTGTAGAGGAGTTTGGAAGAGGAGAAAACATTGCTAGGGGGATTGGTGTCAGCTCTAACAGTTGTAGAGACAGATTGAAGAGTGGCTGAGTACCAGTGATGTTGGGCTGAGAAGGCTTTTGGCATAGCCGATAAGTCCATGTAGACAATATAAGTATCGGGTTTTGCTAATGTGGAGATGAGGTGTGAGATAGAGGTAAAGGAAAGCCAGACATACAAGGCAAGTTTATGAGTAGCCATGGAAGAGAATTAGTTAGAAAGGTGTGTGATTTCTGAAAACTATCTTGAAATTGGTTCGCTTATATAGAGTTGAGAAGTATGGGAACCTCAAGAAATCCTGATTTCTCCATATAATTTCTCAACTTGTTTATTACTTTTTCCGTATTTTATCTAGCTATGGGACCCCCTATTATAAATGCCCATCTTACCAAGAATTTGACTCTCAACAAATATAATTTTAGGTGCCAATGTCTTTATTCATTTGCTGCATACAAGCTTGCTCACAGCTATGGATGCTATTCTCCATCACCGTGTTGTACCCGGTGTCTCCATATTCCACCAAAACCTACTCAATTGGCGCAATCACTTTGTGTTGGCCATTTCGCGTGGTGGCTGCAGAATGGACGGAGCGTATTAGACCCTTCTTGTATGGACCGCTTTCCCGTCAAATGGTTCGTCTTCTAAGTGGAAGAAGTTGAAATTGATATTCCATCAAATTATTTTGCACTAATTATGCGGTTATTTCTCTCGTCTTCGTTGTCAAGTGTTTGAAAGATAATTACAGGGAACACGTACACGACTGATGACTTGGATTCCTCAGCTTCATCAGCCAAGGGTGGAGCAGATTGGCTAGACCAAGACAAAATTTAGTGATTACTAATTAGAGGCATCTCAGAGCCCCCACCATGTGCCCAGAATAACACAAATCATCTGCCAATCAAAAATACTATTGACCTGTTTGAACAAAGATAAAGGAACCCATGTGGCCGATAGAAAAATCTATGAACAAGGTTGCGTGAATTTTAATTTCAATTTTCCCCCAGTCAACTGTCAAATCAATTTGAAGTCTGTATAGCTAGCGTTTTTTATTATGTGGAAGTTTCTTTCTGTACTGTTTGTGCAGAGGGAAAATGTTTCATTTACCAGCTTTTTGTTGCTTTTCAAGATATTATAGAAACACATACAAGAGAGATTCATTGTAAAAATTCAAGTGTAACAATAGTAGAGATAAAATCTTAGTGCAAAAAAAGGTTGTAATCACATTGATTGATAGTAGATGAAATTAGAAGCAATTATTGATGTTTACATTATATTTTCAATGGAAAATAGACAGGCGCTTTATCACACGCATAAAAAGAAGAAAGAAAGTGAGCCTTCATATAAAAGGTTTCATAAATTATTTGTGCTAAAAAGAAGAAAGAAAGTGAGCCTTCATATAAAAGGTTTCATAAATTATTTGTGCTAATCATGGAGAGTTTGTTTTGAATTGTTTCTTTGGTTATGGGTCACTTCAGTCTTCTTTTATTAAGTTAAAGTTAATTGTTTTTCCTTTACAATTGAAGTTACGCAAAGTAAAAACTCCCAATTATTACACTATTCCGATATGACAGACTCGTTTAAATTGTGAAGAAATTGTCTGGTATTAATGAATAACTTTTTTTTTTTTCTTCTATCCACAAAATTGAAAGTCTAATATTTGCATTTTTTTTTTTTTTTTTTGGGTAACAAGGTATGTGGGCCAGTTTGTGCACACCTTAACTAATCTCTAGAGTCTATTGAATATTTTTTTGGTAACAGTGTATGCGAGCCAATTTGTATACATCTCAACTAATCCATAGAATCAATTAAACACCTTGCCAATCTGTTTGTGCACACTTTAACTAATCCCTGTGGTCTATTAAACATCCTACAAACCTAAATGATTATGTAAGTCATAATATTATTAAGGTAAGTAGTCTCAAGGTTTGAACCCAAGAATTTAAAGAAATGAATCATCTTTCTTGACCGCCAGACTAATCTCTTGAGGTTAATATCTACATATTCATTAAGTGAAATTTTCAAATATTGTTAAATGGAACTGGAAGTCTTCTGTTGAAAGTAATGGTGTCTATTATCCATCCGGCCCCTCCAAGAAAAAGTGTAAAAACAAACAGTGAAGCATGGATCCATCTGCTTCCCAATGCCAACTATTCTGTTATTGTCAATTTAGTTATCAGTGGAATTATCTGTATAATGGGTGTCAAAATCCGTGTCATTATGGCGGCCTTATCTATATGAACGGTAAATGTGAATGATGCTAATGATAAGAGTAAGGCACCTAGCTCAAACGCAATTGGTTGTAGATTTCATTTGGGGAAATAATTTGGTTAGCCAATTCACGTTTCTTTTCCACCTATAGCCAAATTGTACTGATAATGTGGTCCTCTCCTCTGTTCAGGGAAAAAAGAAGAAGCCAAAGGTTACAATTCGTTGTGTGAGGTTTGTTGGGAGATCAGGGAGTGGATTTGTGTAGAAATGGGCTTGGTGGACATTGTAAAAAAATGGGTACAATTATTGTTGAGCCTTTCTGGGTTTGGCTACGGCCTCTATTTAAAGTCCATTAATTTTTTTTNATTGTCAATTTAGTTATCAGTGGAATTATCTATATAATGGGTGTCAAAATCCGTGTCATTATGGCGGACTTATCTATATAAACGGTGAATGTGAATGATGCTAATGATAAGAGTAAGGCACCTAGCTCAAACACAATTGGTTGTAGATTTCATTTGGGGATATAATTTGGTTAGCCAATTCACGTTTCTTTTCCACCTATAGCCGAATTGTATTGATAATGTGGTCCTCTCCTCTGTTCAGGGAAAAAAGAAGAAGCCAAGGTTACAATTCGTTATGTGAGGTTTGTTGGGAGATTAGGGAGTGGATTTGTGTCGCAATGGGCTTGGTGGACATTGTAAAAAAATGGGTACAATTATTGTTGAGCCTTTCTGGGTTTGGCTACGGCCTCTATTTAAAGTCCATTAATTTTTTTTTTTCTGCTCCTAAATGGGGCTACGGCCTCTACTTAAAGTCCTTTCTCTTCTTCATATTAATAGGTAATTACTTCGTCATCGCAGCAAGTAGGGATGAAAAAAAAAACTGAAAATCAGACCGAACCGAAACTGGTCTAAAAGTTCGGCTTTTTTTCAGTTTCCGTTCGCCATATTTTAAACCAAATATTCGGTTCAGTTTTTTGAAATAACAAAACCAATTAACCGAACCGGATTTTTAAACCAGTTTAATGAATAAAAAAATAATTTTATATTTTTTAATCTTTTAAAAATTTATCCCTAGGTCTTCACTAATGTAATTTTAAATTATTAATACTTGATGTATATTAAAATTATATGAATTCAAATGATTCAATTAGAATAAATATAACTTTAATTCAAGTTAAAAGAAAACCTAGAAAAAAAAAGGGCCAAAGTGGAGGGTTTGACCGAATTGGGCCGAATAAATGCAGTCCATCATAATTAACCAGTTTAAAATTGGTTAATCGAACCGAATTCGATTCGGTTTATAACCGAAATCGGATCAGTTTCAGTTCAATTTTTTTTTTAAAACTAAAATCCGGTTCGGTTCAAGACACCGGTTAACCGATTTTTTCCACCCCTAGCAACAACTATCGGTTTCGATTCAATTTTTTTTTTTGAATTGAAATCCGATTCGGTTCAAGATACCGGTTAACCGGTTTTTTCCACCCCTAGCAACAACTATCGAGACTGTTGAATACCAGTTGGATTCCACGGCAGTGCCGCATTTAAAAAATCAAGAAAACAGATCATATAGTCTTAGAACAAATTCTTTCAAGGCTTCTTTTCTTGAAGATCATCTTCAGATTTCTTAGCTTGAAGAAAGTTTTAAGTCGTCTTTTAAATTGTAAAATATAAAGGTTAGTGTTTCTTTTTCAAATTAGTATTTAAATTTTACATACAAGAATTTATAAGAGCTTACAAATAATAATCATCTTTTAGTAAAAAAGAAAAGAAAAAATAAAAAAGAGATGAAATTGAACAAATTTAACTTTTACACAGAAAAATTAATTTTTATTAAGGAAAAATTGAAATTATAATTACAAGTATAGATAACGTTGACTCTTAAAATTAATTTTGGATAGAAACTCTTAGGTATATTATTCAAGAGGTCTTGAATTCAAGTCTTTTCTTGATTGTTTATAGGGATAATCACTGGTTTAAATCTCTTCTCGGTTGTTAATAGGAGTAGTCACTAGAGTACTTATCTAACTGGTAGTTTCAGAGTCTCAGGTAATTAATTGAGGTATGCGTAAACTGAACAGAAATCATGTTAAAAAAAAAAAAAATGTTAACATTTATCCAAACGAATGGCCAGGCATACTTAGAGGTTAAGGCAAGACTTTTGTGAGTGACGACTTAAACAGAGGCCTCAAATCGTAAAATATCTTAATAATGTTGATTCCCCACACATCACTCTCAAAGGAAATGAAGATGCAATTTCTAGCACGGCAATATTCAAAAAGGTTAGCTGAAGAACAAAGCAAAAAACATAGAAGGCATCGCTTGCTGGCATTTTGGACGGAAGTTAGTTTTGTCAATCAGTGCCAATGGGGTCGTTTAATGAGAAAAAGCATTATATCAAGATTCAATATCTGATTTTGCTGGCAACGTGTCCGATATATTCCAAAAACAAAAAGACAATAATAATGTAGAAGATTCATAAATAACTTGTTTTGATTCATTTAGATGTCTATTATTCCAATACTCATGATTAGTAGACATTTTAAATCTCAGTTAATCGTTAACATAGCATCCATGGATCTCTATCCATTCTCCAAGAACGTCCCACAAACTGACATACTTAATCACTCACAAAGGGTGAAACAGCAATCGGGCTCCTGACAGTGTGCATTCCGTTTTCTTCAACCCAAACGAGTGCACCAAATGATACGTTTTGTTCATCATCATTGGCGTACTTTATAGTGAGGCTGTAGCTCTGCTTCTCGTATATCTTTTCGAAGACCAACGTTTCTGGTGAGACCGTAACTACAGAACCCATTGGAGCACTGACCCTGGCCTTATAAGTTGCAGCGCCATCTCCCACATTTGTCACAATCCTGTGAAATGTCTCAACATATGATGTAGTTTTGTTATTGTATAAAACAATAAAAGACGGATAATTAAGATCAGAATTGGGATTTGAGCAGTTGTAACTGTTTGATCTCGTAATCACCAAAATTTGCTTTGGGGTGTAATTCATAGAACATAGGAGATCCGCATAGTCTTGTGGGGTAGCGTCATAAATCAAGCCTGGATCAAGTGCTCGATTAGGATCAACTTGGCCAGCTCCCATGGCTAAAGGTGAAGCAAATGTGAAATTACTAAGACCGTTGTCTTGGATTGGATTTTGAGTGTTATCCAATGGGTTAGCTGTGGTGACCATGGCAGACCTAATTGCAGCCGCACTCCATTCAGGGTGCGCGCCTTTAAGGAGTGCAGCCACACTAGAAGCATGAGGGCAGGACATTGATGTCCCAGAGATCATATTAAACTCATTAGACAGGAGTACGTTTGAACCAATTCGTGCTACAAAGTCATTTGGAATCCAAGCAGCCAAAACCAATGACCCTGGTGCCATTACATCTGGCTTTAAGATGCCTGGATAGCTGGGTGATGGTCCTCTAGAAGTATAGAAAGCTGCAGCCGGGGCAGGCTTTGTGCCCAGAATGGTTTGTTGGAACTTGATGCTTGCTGAAGCTTTCTTATCAGCTGTAACATAGTTGATTACAGTCGGTGCATCCTTGGGGCTAATCATAACAGCAGGACAACTCATACCACCAAGTTCTAATAATTGAGGATCTTCTGAAACGAATATAGCTCCTCGAACCTTTGAATCACCGATAGCATCTATTTGATCAGATACAAACTCCGTTTTGTCGCATAAGATGATGACATCAACTGGGGCTTTAGCTAACAATCGTGTTGAGTTGCATGCTGAGAAAGTCTTGTTGTAAACCAACGGCAAATTTTCAACGAAAGCATTAGCCGGAAAGAGGGTCCATCCGATGATGGTTTGTCCATTCCCAAGAGTTAAAGTTCCAGCAAATGAACGATCAATTGTGCCGGCTGCAACAGTCAAGACCCAAGGAATTCCATTGTGCAAGGTCCCTAGAGATGGCCCTGCATTTCCTGCTGAAGATGAGACCACCACACCCTTCTCCATGGCAGCAAATGAGGCTATTGCAATAGGATCTTCATACAATGGCACTCCATCGAATCCCATTGATATTGAAATTATATCAACACCATCAGCAACGGCCTGGTCCATGCCAGCAAGAACATCAGAGGCATAGCGTCCTTCATCAAAGATGACCTTGTACATGGCCACCCTGGCACGTGGCGCCACACCTCGTGCAGTACCTTTAGCATAGCCGAAGAATGAAGCATCATTCACATAATTCCCAGCAACAGTGGATGAGGTGTGTGTCCCATGCCCCAAGGTGTCTCTAGTAGAATTCATGCTAATATTAGCCCTCGGATTTGCTGCTAAAATACCCTTGTTGAAATATCTAGCTCCTATAAGCTTTGAATTACACAGGGAGGAGTTGAACTCTTGTCCAACTTCACATTCTCCCTTCCACCTGGCCGGAACCGAGCTCATGCCATCATCTTTATAGCTATCACTCTCGGGCCAGACACCAGTGTCGATGACACCAACAATGACATCTTCACCATAATTTGAAGCGGGCCAAAGGCCGGTGGCCGTATTTAGGGAGAGGAATTCAAGGGTATGGGTGGTATCAAGTGTTACAGTCTTATCTGCGTAAGCTGAGATGAAAATTGGCGAGTTCTTTAAAGTTTCAAGTTCCTCTTGAGATAAAACTGCACTGAAACCATGAGCAACATTGTCATAAGAGTATATAAGAGATGGTGAGGATAAAGCTGTGTTTACAGACTTGAGGGAATCCATGATGGAGGAGTACCAGTCATGGTGGTTAGAGAAAGTTTTGGGAATGTGGGACTTGTCCATATGGACTATATACGATGATCTCTCAACTGAACTTGAGTTAGCATGGAAAACCAATAGAAGCAATGCCAAAACCAAAAGAAACAAATAAGAAACCCCATTAACAAATCCCATTGTTTCTTTAACAAGAAGAATTGGCTTTGGGTTTGAATGAATGGAGTCTATGATATGCTTATATAATGAGTGAACAGAACATGAGTTACTGTACTGTTAAGATTGTGAGATAAAAGGGCATAAGCGGCCCACATTTTAGCTGGAGCGAATCTTCCTTTCCGCATTGGGCAACAAGTTTAATAGGAGGAGAATTTAAGTTTATATAGATTCTCGAGTTCGAATCCTCACGACTGTTAATAAGGATAGTCATTGAAGTTTTTATCCGGTCAATAATTTTAAAGTTTTGAGAAATTAGTTGAAGTGTATGTAAACTAACCTAAATATTTGCCGTCATAAAAAAAAAAAAAAAAAAGTTTAATAGGAAGAATTACTTATATACAATCATTTAGCTGTTAAGTATATATATACACGGTTTTCTTTATTATTAACAAATCAACAATAAAAACTTTTGGGAGCATATAAAATCTGACATCATTTCATGGTATAGAATTGTATAGTACAATATTATGACATATGCTGCAGTAAAAAATCTCCCCATTATATATTTGATTATTTCCTTGCTTCAGTATTCTGTCAAGACTTGCGTATAAAATATGAAGTCAATTCCATCGAACTCCCAATCTCCCATCATGCAGCAACATTAAATGTTCTAGCCATGTGAAATAGAAAACTATGGGATTAATTGCAACTTTTTCTAATTTCGGGTAACAGAAGTGGATGCCATGCCAAAAAAAACTGATAGATTAAAGAAGAACATAGCATTTATTCTTAGGTCATTCAATTTCCCAGCCCGAAATAATAAAATTTATTATGACAAGTTGACGACCTAATATCTCTCCAGTAACCTAATCCACTGTAAAACTAATTCTGACTAAAGAGTTCACCAGCCAATCACAGAAGGTGAGGTTGGCATAGTGTTTGGTTGTTCTACAATCTTACGTCAATAAATAGGAAAATGAGAAAAAGAAAAAAAGAAAAATGATGTCGAAAAAGGTCTTCACCAAAGTGATTAAATATGTTGATGATGCAACTCACTTCGTGCCTGTTTCTTTCTTAACTGTCCTGAGTCTGACAATTACAAGGCTAGGAAACTGCAAGAAGGAACACATGGTTCGACTGAAGGTGTGGATCCCAAAGATGGGTAATTAATAAATAATGCTGATGGCGATATTAAATTATTCTATTAAGGGAGCAAATCCAATCCATATTTTATATTTATGCCTGTCCAACTGTGATCAGTAAAGCCATATTGATGTCCGCTTCTAGCCTGCTTTAGGTTGCCAATGCTTCACTGTATTGCATACACCGGTGCGTCCAATGTTATATAGAATAGTGCTGGATTGGCTTAAAATGACATCAACGAAGAACAACGCTACAAAATCAATCAATATATATCACAAAACTTATAAGGTCTGCCAATCTAAAAGAGGTTTCTTCTCCCACTGAGAAACGAGAAACAATTGCCTTTGCTTAGACGACAAGAATTGGCTTTGAGATTGAATGGAGTACATGATTTGCTTATCTAGTTAAGGAAGTGACAATGAGTGACAATTAATACTGTTGATAATATAAAAGAAAATATAAGTGCCAACTGTTGTAATTGCTTGAAGTTCGATGGACAGTTAGCAAAATTGTTAAACATATGAATAAAGATTAATACACAACCTAATCTTATAAATTTTCTCTCACATCTTTGATGTGACAACTCGTAATTGGTCAGTTAGCAATTAAACAGACGAGACCCATAATGAATAGGTAGGATCCATTTGTGTAATTGGGCAGATATGATCCAAAGCGAGTAGACAAGACCCATTTGCGAGCCGGCTATGAACAAAGTAGAAATCAATTTGGTAAAGTAATGTGTATTTTCTATTATGGAAGAAAGACGAAGTCAGTCTTTTTATACAAAGAAAAGTAGCTATTGACGACTGTAGACTATTGTCAAACGAACAAACAAACTACTTTATATATCTAACCAACTCAACTTAATCTAACTAAATAAAATAAAATATTTAATTTATACAGGCCAATTATAAATTATCACGTCGATGTTGTAAGTATAGTATTGTCCTAAACAAATATACATGAACTATTTTTTGTTACATATTATTGTAAGGGATCAATAATATTTCCCTTACATTTTGCTAACACATATAATTTAATTACATGTATAGCATTCAATTTCATATATTGGTACTTAACTTGTAAAATATACTATACTTTTTTGGTCACATATAATGTCACATTTCTGGTAAATGACATATATGTTGCAACATTATGAATTTATGATATACTTTCTACTTTGAATGCCGTGGTCTTAATGTTTCTTCCTGTTAATATCCTAACAAGACTAAAAAAAATTAAGTCAATTATCATAAAAGTCACATCATGTAGCTACTATAAATGTTGTAGCCCATGTGAATGAATAACACAACTCTCTGATTTCAGGTAACAGAAGTTACAAATGAGGCCAAGGATCATTGCAGAGGGTTGCCAGTGATTGATTTAAGAACATAATTGTTTGAAGAAAGGTTACCATTACTCTGTTTTCCAGATTTCCATTCTTAAATATTTAATTCCAGTTAAACATTAACTATGTTTCTCAAATTTTATATTAAATGTTGCTGTCCTTTTTAATGTGTTTGATATATTTCATTTTCGAAGTATAGTAATAAAAAATAGATATATTTTTATTTTCTGAAAATTACAATTATTAAATAATAATCTTAAAACATTAACTTTGGCCAACTCTGTTGCCAAACAACAGGCCATTGTCATCCAGCGACGATAACGCATGTCTGAGGACATAATCGATCACGAACGGATCGACACGAGTTAATCGATACATGTATATCGGTTTATCGATGATAAGTGCAACATTTGGATGAAACTGGTGACAGATTCGACGGAATTTTTCCTCCTCTGTTTACCGCGTTTCACTACATTTGAGGCAAGGAAAATTGACAAAGGCATAAATCAGGTAATATTGGTCAGTTTGACATGGAACATCGAGAGATAAGAGTGGAATAAAACAGGAACAACGAAGATAATGCTGCTATCATTATTTGCATATCCCAGTAATTTCATTCTTAGGCCATTCAATATTAGGCAAAAGCAAAAGCCAACCCAAAGCAGAGTAGCCTTATTGCATGCAGTTTCATTTAAAGCATCACAGATATTATTTAACTTTGTTGAATGCTTGCACTCTAAAATTTAAATAACCAACTCTTGATATAATATAAGGAACTACTTAGTCTTTAAGTCAATTTCGAAGAAACCTTCTGGAACGTGGATGAATATACATCGTAATGTACAAAAACCAAACTGCCGACTAAAACATTTTCGAGGAGAAAATCCAATACATATTGACAGTAATGCTAATCCAACAGTAGATAAGTCATAATTAAAACGCCGTTAATGTCTGCTTAAGGTTGCCAATGCTTCCTTATATACATGCACTGTTCCTCGAAAACCGTCATGAATTGGAACAAATATCCTCTGTATTAAACCAAGTGATTTTATACAGCCATTTCTTGAGGTTGATAGTGAGATCACATAGTCAAATAATCCCTTATTCAATTTTACGGTCAGAACTGGGGTTGATGGCTGTAACAATTGTCACAGCTCACTAACACCATAAAATTTCATTTTGTAAATTATTAGTGATAACTTGGTCTGCAACACTTGATGTCATGTTATCAAATCAGGATAATTTGTCCAACATCCCCACTCGACTTATACAGCTCCACTTCTCCCGCCATTCAACCAAAACACAAACCATTGGGATAGCACATCAACCTCCGAAGGTTAATTTCAATGATTCCAAGTTACGAGTATGCAGTAATTACCTTGTGACCTCAGGACTACCACTAAGTGCAGGCAGAGGAAGTCATGATTGGTGGCTTTTTACTGAGACTGAATTCTCTATTTTTTATTTCAGAGTTCAGTTTTTCCTTTGATGTTTTATGTTTACCAAGTGAGGAGACGGCAAGTAGATAGCATCAAGAAAATCCCAATGAGGACTGATTATTTTATATGCAGGCCACTACATTATCAATTTGCAGGCAGAGGAAGTGATGATTGGTGGCTTTTTATTGAGACTGAATTCTCTATTTTTTATTTCAGAGTTCAGTTTTTCCTTTGATGTTTTATGTTTACCAAGTGAGGAGACGGCAAGTAGATAGCATCAAGAAAATCCCAATGAGGACTGATTATTTTATATGCAGGCCACTACATTATCAATTTGCAGGCAGAGGAAGTGATGATTGGTGGCTTTTTATTGAGACTGAATTCTCTATTTTTTATTTCAGAGTTCAGTTTTTCCTTTGATGTTTTATGTTTACCAAGTGAGGAGACGGCAAGTAAAAAGCATCAAGAAAATCCCAATGAGGACTGATTATTTTATATGCAGGCCACAACATTTTCAATTAGCTGACATTGTTCTAATCTCATAATGCTAATCCAAAAAATGGCTAATTCTTCCTTCGGAAGAATGAAAAACCTGAAATTATATCAGTTTACCCTCAGCGCTAGTTTCACACCACAAGCTGCATGCCATGCTTCATGAGATGACAGCGGACTTATCATTGACAAATAATGGAAATAAATCATTAAACAAACAGAAAAGTCGAGAGATTTGACGGAGATTTATGTCACTCACGCTAATCTAAAAGAGGCCTTCTTAAACTCCCATACGTCTGAAAGGATGTGGCAGAGTTACCGCAAAATTATTGCAGAGAGAAAATGTTGTTTATAGACATGCCTTTGGTTTGGTATTGGCAATACCTCCTATTTTGTTAACTGGCTACAAGCCTTTTGTGTCAAACAGAGGCCATAACCTAGCTACATCATATAACTATAATTGGTAAAAATAATGATTCAAACTACGGATTTTCAAATATCACAAAAAATGCGGATTCTAATGTCAACTACACTTACAAGGCAGGTTAATTAACAGATGTGGCAACGGACATTAAGTATCAGACGAGCTTCAGCACCAAAGCAACAAAGAACCGATATGTATATAGTATTCATCTGTTATATTGGATCTGGATAGTTCACCTCTATACTTCCTTGAGATTTACTGGCTTTGGAAGCTGATCCAGTGGGGGACCTAACAAAGAAAAGGGTAGCTGGAGAATATAGAACTTCACTATCAGCTGAGCAAAAGTGTCCATAGGACTTGTCCATTTTTGTATGCAAATAAAAAACGGAGAAGAGTATTATATTTGTGAATTGTGATGCTAACATGAGCAACCGAGCGTACTCAAACGTTTTATAAAGTACAAATGCATCCATTCATGAACCCACTATCGAAAAGATCGAAGACAAAAGACATGGAATTGTAGTTAACGTTTTATAATTAACAAGGATGACTTCTTGGTCCAATAGTTTCTTTACATCGCATTATAAATTTTCCAATTTTTACAATCTTCTCATCAATCTCCTAAGCACCTCATCCATGACTACAAAGATATTCTACCGTCATCTTTTGCTTCATGTATTGCCTTGTCTACTGTTATTACTGGGAATCAGCAATGCGGTGTCAAAAAGTGAAGACTACCAGACATACATCATCCACATGGACCATTCTCAAAAGCCTGCATCTTTCATAACACATGAGTCATGGCACCTGTCAATCCTAAAATCATTTTCATATCCTGCTGATAATAAAGAAATGTTATTGTACTCATACAATCATGCCATCCATGGTTTCAGTGCCAGGCTGACACCCTCCCAACTGTCTGAAGTTGAGAAATCTCCAGCTCACCTCGCTACATACCCAGAGTCCTTTGGCAAGCTATTCACCACTCACTCCCCGAAGTTTCTTGGACTAAATGGTAACTCTGGCTTATGGCCTGCTGCATCATATGGTGCAGGTGTCATCATAGGAATTATTGATACTGGAATTTGGCCGGAGAGCGAGAGTTTCAATGAGAAGGGAATGCCGCCAGTGCCTCAACAATGGAAGGGCCAGTGTGAGAATGGAACAGCATTTAGCCCTTCTATTTGCAACAGGAAGCTCATTGGTGCTCGCTCTTTTAGCAAAGGACTGCAAGCTGCGGGTAGAAATATCTCCAAGTTTGAATATGACTCACCAAGAGACTCCGATGGTCATGGAACTCACACATCATCCACAGCTGCTGGTAACCATGTACATGGTGCTAGTCACTTTGGATATGCAAAAGGCACAGCAAGAGGAGTAGCACCACGAGCACACGTCGCCATGTACAAGGTCCTCTGGGCAACAGACACATTTCAGAGTGCAACAAGTGATGTACTTGCTGGCATGGACCAAGCAATTGCCGATGGAGTTGATATCATGTCATTGTCTCTGGGCTTTGAACAGACACCTTATTTCAAGGATGTTATCGCCATTGCTTCTATCTCAGCAGTTAAGAAAGGAATTTTTGTTGTTTGTGCTGCAGGAAATGATGGAGGTCTTCAGACAACATATAACGGAGCACCTTGGATCATGACTGTAGGAGCTGGCACACTTGATCGGATTTTCCATGCGTCAGTTACTCTCCATAATGGCGTAACCTTAAAAGGAATATCGTATTTCCCAGAGAGCATTTACATTACTAATAAACCATTGTACTATGGCAAAGACGATGAAAACAAAGCAATATGCAACAGGAAAGCATTAGATCCAGAAGAGGTTACTGGAAAGATTGTCCTCTGCGATTATACCACCGAAACTGACGTTTACGGACAACTGGTGGAGGTTGAGAGGGCAGGGGGATATGCAGCAATCTTCTTGACAGATTATTCAGATTTAGATTCAAGTGATTACAAGATTCCCAGCATGACACTGCCGACATCTTCTGGGGTTTTGATCCGACAGTATGCGACGGGGGTAAGTGAACCAAAGGTTAAAAGGATGCAGTTTATTTTGACGGAGGTTGGTACAAAGCCAGCACCTCAAGTGGCCTTCTTTTCTTCAAGAGGACCAGACCCCATCAACCCAGGTATTCTAAAACCAGATATTCTGGCTCCAGGAGTTGATGTGTTGGCAGCAGTTGCACCTAATGTGCCCTACACTGAAGTTGGCAATTACGATTTGGTGACGGATTATGCATTATATTCAGGTACATCAATGGCTGCTCCCCATGTTGCTGGAGTCGGAGCGTTACTAAAAGCCGTCCATCCTGAGTGGAGCCCAGCAGCCATCCGATCAGCTATAATGACCTCAGCTTATACTATTGACAATACTGGTGCTATTTTGAAAAATGAAATGGCTGGCTTTCCTGCCACACCAATAGATTTTGGGGCAGGTCATATCAACCCAAACAAAGCCATGGATCCTGGACTCATATATGACTTAAACTTTCAAGATTATGTGGAGTTCCTATGCGGTCTAGGCTACAATGACAAACAGATGAAAACTGTCCTTCGACAAAGTGAGTGGAATTGTAGCCAAGAACCGAATACCGACTTAAATTACCCTTCTTTTATCTTATTATATAACAATGAAACGGTAAAGAATTTTAGCAGGGTTGTTACGAACGTGGGACAAGAAGAATCAGCATACCGTGCAATTTTGGAGTTCCCAACTGGAATGAGTATTAGTATAGAGCCTAGCACTCTAACATTCACTCAGAAATACCAGAAGCAGGATTTTGTTCTAAGTGTAGAGATTGACAGTGAAGCTCCAAGAATGATATACGGTTATCTCAGATGGATTGACCAACATAACCACACAGTATCAAGCCCTATCATGGCCATCAAAATCTAGCTACAACACATTCATTTTCAGAGTATCATGATTTTCTGAAGCGATTTTTATATTTATACGATCATCATCACCATCAATAAATCAATAATTCAGGGTGCACTTGGCTCATTATTATGATATTTTCTACAATAATATTTTGAAAAAAGTAAAATTGAGTGGTTATTACTATGTAAGATTTAAAAATTAACAAAAATACCCTATATGTTTGTTTATTTACTAAAAACCCTTATAATAAAGTATTAAAAATTAAAAAACACCTTCATCCACTCATTAAATAACGACCGCCGCCTACCACCGTCGGAGGGTGGCCAAAGTCATCGTATCGACGCACGACTGGTTGGATTTGGCCGGTCGTGTGCTGATATGGCCTTTTCTGGCCAGATCTACGGTTAGATCTGGCTGCATTTGGTCGTTAACAATAGCCAATGATATGATCAGAAAAGGCTAGATCGACGCACTATCGACCAGATCTAACTGGTAGTGCGCCATTATACCAGATTCCAACCAGCTTTTGGCGGTGGTGGTCGAAATTTGGCATATGTGGGTTGCTGGGGTGTTTTTATCAATTTCTAAAAAAAAAAATTTGGAGGTGTTTAGTTAAATTAACAAATCTAGGGGGTTTAAAAAGAGTTGAATAATATATAATAATATTTTGAGAATAAGGAAATAAATGTGTATTTTTGATAGAATAGGGAATAGAGTAGTGAAAAATTGTGTACCAAAGGGGCCAATGTTTGTGACAAAACCATTTAGGAATGATGATGGATCGTGTACCACAAACCTGAGATTGCAGAACATATATCAAACTGATGCTTTATATAATTGTTTGTAAGCAGGACATCTTTATGTGTAAATTTTGAACACAACAGTGTTGAAGTAGGTGATATTTTGCTGGAAATGAAGAAGAATTCAGTTGGTTGGAGTTTCAGCTTTTTGGCGCCAAGTTTGAAAAGTCTGCCGTGTTGAAGCAGTTGCTAAGTTGCCCTTTTTGAATGATTTGTGTGATGTTTTTAGTTAATGGCAGCCCGTGATTAAGGGGCCATATTAATGTCATGTACTTTACTTAAGGGTGTATGGTTGAGATTATTTATGTCTAAAATATCCACTGCACATTATGTAAAACAGTGGATCAACTTTGTATAAAAATCCTCTGTTATGGGAATGAAAAACAGAGCAAAATATTAATAGTAATAACCTCTCTCTCCACAACTTTCTCTCTTATTCGTGTGTTTGGCCTTCACTTTCTTTGCATTATCCAGCTCACAAAACCAGCACAGAGCATAAATCTTACCGGCTTCAATCAGATGCAGTGGCGAAGCAAAAAAAAGGAAAGAAAGAAGGGAAAAAAAAAAAAAAAAAGAAGCCAGAAATGTTCTTTAAGAAGCAAAGCAAGCGTCATATACTTGCATCATTCATAGATTTCTTCATTTTTCTTTGAAAGTTTGCTAGGGTTCTAATCCGCAAGGAAGCATTAGGTGTTCACGAGATTATAAAGTGAAAACAACTAATTCATCCTTCAATTATGGCAATAGTATTAATATTATATCGTTCTAAACATATAACATGCACTTTTTTCTTATGAACTCATCGTTTCCCTCTACGTTACTACCCAAGAGGTGATAGAAATTGGAAAGATGATTAAAATTCATGTGGAAGCAAAAACATAAGAAATGTAGAATATATATATATATATATATATATAAGCTGAATACCCAAGCTGGTTGTTTGCCATGTGACACATTTTAGAACTCATAAAATTGTTCCATTTTGACATATAGGATTTGTGGTTGAATTTTATTGGTGATGATGTGGAGAGATATTAATTGCTGTATTGGTATTTCAAATTCAAAAGTAAAAGCATACCTATTTGAGTAATACGTAGGACACTTTTTTTTTAGCTCTAAAATTGTTTTATTTTGGAGCTCTAGAATTGCTCTCTTACCCCGTTGGATGTGTGGTTTGATGAGATATTTTTAGCTCTAAGATTCATGAATATCTATGCTAGTTGTTCGCCATGAATACCCATGCGGGTTGTTCGTCATGTGACACATTTTGGAAGCTCTAGAATTGCTCTATTTTGATACATTGGATTGATATTTATTGCTCTATCTATAATTATTAATTAATTAAAAAAATAGAATATGTATTAATAATAATAATAATAATAATAATAATAATAATAATACAGGTGCATTGCATTAGCATTCTAAATGTTTAATCATAATGACACATAGAATTTGTGATTGTCATATGATTGAATTTTATTGGTGATGATGTAGACAATATTAATTGTTGTATTGGTATTCCAAAGTCTAAATAAATAGTTATAAAGATTAGATTACACAGGTGTACTGCATTGGTTGTATTAATAATTAATAATAATATTAATTATATAGGTGCATTGCATTGATATTCTAAAGGTCTAACCATAATAACACCTTGGATTTATGATTGCCATGTGATTGAATTTTATTGGTTATAATATAGACAATATTAATTGTTGCATTGGTAATCCAAAGTCTAAATAAATAGACATAAAGATTGGATTACATAGTTGCATTGCATTGGTTGTATTAATAATTAATAATAATACTAATTATATAAGTGTATTGTATTGACATTCTAAAGGTCTAACCATAATGAAACTTTGGATTTGTAATTGTCATGTGGTTGAATTTTATTGGTGATAATGTATACAATATTAATTGCTACATTAGTATTCCAAAGTCTAAATAAATAGACATAAAGATTGTATTAGATAGGTGCATTGCATTGGTAGTAAAAGTATACATGTTTATAAATAATTATATAGGTACATGGTATTGACATTACAAACTTTTCTTCGTATTCAATTCGTATTTAATTATGTTGACATTCTAAAGGTCTAAATAAGGGTTATAAAAGGAGCGTATGTTCAGTTGTGTATTATTGCAATATGTTAGTTGGTGTCAACAATATGTCTGGTCTTTTGTTAATTGTTTATAGGTCATGTTAGTTTGTGTCAATAATATGTCTGTTCTTCATGATTTTGTTAATCGATGATTTTTTATTTATTTATGTTTTTGTTATTGTTTATAGGTCAAAGATTCATGAAATGACATGGAATAAAGGAAGGATGTTCAATTGACATTGTCAAATGAGTTGTTATTTTGATTTGTTCTTCTAAACTGTAAGTATATCTTCTAACTATTTTAATACGAAATTGTAAGTACAACAACACTACGGACACTGAAATATTAGCACCGAATTTCTGTACCGACCGACGTGGAACGCGTTTCTCCATTTCTTTATAATTTTTTTCTAGTGAACGGCCGTCCATCAAATTTGGACGGCCGTTCACTCACATGGACGCCTGTCCATGTTATATGGATGGGCGTCCATATGCGAGGGACGGCCGTCCATATAATATGGACGGCCATCCCTATTAAAATAAAATAAAATAATTTGTAAAAGCTTAGGGACGGCCATCCATCCATTATGGATAGCCGTCCATTAATTTTGTACGGCCGTCCATGTTATATGGACGGGCGTCCATATGCGAGGGACGGCCGTCCATATGATATGGATGCCCGTCCTTATTAAAATAAAATAAAATAAAAAAATTTGTAAAAGCTTAGAGATGGCCGTCCATCCATTATGGACGGCCGTCCATTAATTTTGGACAGGCGTCCACAAATAATGGACGCTCGTCCTTCACCCAAATATGAAAAAAAAAAATTTCCATTATGGACGGCCGTCCATAAATTTGGACGGCCGTTCACTCACATGGACACCCGTCCATATTATATGGACGTTGTCCATATACCAGGGACAAACGTCCCAATTTAAAGGACGCCCGTTCATAAGTAAAATGAAATACTTTTTTTTATAAAAATTAGGGACAGCCGTTCATCCGTTATGGACGGCCGTCCCTTCATTTTGGACGGGCGTCCGTAAATAAGGGACGCCCGTCCTTAACCAAAAAATGAAAATAAAAAAAGAAAAAAATTTGGGGATGGCCGTCCATAAATTTTGGACGGGTGTCCCTTAAGTTTGGACGGCCATCCATTCTTAATGGATGCCTATCCATACTTTAAAAAAAAAAAATTCTAAACAGTAAACACCTCTTCTTCTTCGCCATCTCCTCTCTTTTTCTTCGTCTTCATTCCCCATCTTCTTCGCCTTCTGAATTGCTTAGGAGCCTATTCTTCGACATCAAATGCACCTGAAAAATTCAAGTTCATATGGTTTCCTTACATAAAGAATCTACTTCCTCTATAATAAGCAGCATGGAATTCCTGTTAGCATATCTCTGAGATATTGTCAATGGAAATGGACTTGCAACTAAGGACCAGTAGCCCCAACTTTATCTTATCACATATAACAGAGTGAGACATGGATGCTTACTGGTGTCAGAGGTTCGATGGGTTCATGCAATTCAAGATCAACAGCACCATGATCCAAGTAAACATCACAGACTCCCTCCGTCACCTTTTCTGGAAATGTTTGAGCAAATATTTTATTTTGCTTTGCAAGGTGTTTCAGTTTAGCCTCATGCTCCATTCGTCTTTGATACTCCAAGGTTTCTTCAAGCTTTCTTTCCTCAGCTTCAAGCTCAATTTTACGTCTAAATTCCTCTTCCAGAAGTTTTAAGTCATCACCATTCACAGAAACACCAGTCTCTGAATCTGAATGATCACCATCAGATTCTGGATACGAACTGCACTAAGCCATGAATTCAATATATTAACAATAAACCCCCTCCCAGTAAAGCATCTATTTACAAAAAATGGTGGCATGTAATAGAAAGAGTGAGGGCATATGTGCAAAGAAAGAGCAAAAGGAAGACATACACCCGCTCAGACGTCTCATCATGAACCATATCATGCTGATTACCACCAACTGACTGAAAAATACGAAAATATTAGACCTGCATCATGGATTTTGTACGTACAAACAAAATAAAACCACAAACTTGAAACCTTTGAATCCTTGGTTTTCCTGAAATCTTTGTTTCTTTTTTTATCCTTCGTCTTATCATGTGTATGCTTCGAGTTATCACTACCTCCTTGGGCACCCTTCTTAGAATCAAGTGCAAGTTCTGCTAAAA